GAAATAGAGAACAACAAAATGGGGAGAACAAGAGAATTCTTCCACGAGATCTGAGAAACCAAAGGGAAATTCAAGCCTAAATTAGGAATGCTGAATGGCCAACAAACAAACACACTATCTGACCAGGAGAAAATAAAGAAAAGGTGAGAACAGTATACTTAAGACCTATACAGAATGGATAAAAGGATGACAGGCTACTTAGAAGAGGAAGCCTATGATGAAGAACCTGCAGTTCTAGAAAGTGAAGTGAAAGCAGTTTTGAAAGCACTAGGAAGAAATAAATCACCAGGGGCAAGTGAGGGGCTAGTGAGCTTTTTCAAGCCAGAGAGAAAGAATCTGTCAAAATCCTAAAAAGAATATGCCAAGAAATATGGAAAACAAAACAATGTCCCACAGGCTGGAAGTGCTAAACATACATTCTAATCCCTAAGGAAGACTGAAAGAACTGGGCATGTTTAACCTTGAGAAAATAAGACTGAGGGGAGATATGACAGCACTTTTCAACTACTTGAAAGGTAGGTAGAGGAGAGCCAGGATCTATTCTTGATTATCCCAGAGTAAAGAACACAAAATAATGGGCTCAAACAACAGAAAGCAAGATTTAGGCTGAATATCAAGAAAAACACTGTAACTGTTAGAGCACTACAACAATTGAATCAATTGCCTAAGGAGGTTGAAAGCACTCCTACACTGAAGGCATTCAAGAGAAAATTGAACAACCTTCTGTCAGATCTGCTTTGATTTGGACTCCTGCACTGAGTAACCTTTTGGTCCTTTCCAACTCAGTTATTCTGTGATTTTATGAAGGAGATGCCAAGGAATGCAGTCACTGTAGAACGACTGTTTTAATCTTCCATGCAAGCAAAGTCATGCTCAAGGACCTGCAAAGGCTTTCACCTTACATGGAGTGAAAAATGCACGATGAAGGCACTCAATATCATATTGCAAATATCCACTGGCTACCAGAGTGCACCAAAGAATCTATGTGGGTCATGGGGAACTATGGATTGTTCTAAAAGAAATGGGTGTGCCTCAGCACTTCATTTTCTTCATGCATAACTTGTATGGTGGACAAGAAACAACCGTTAGGATTGAATATGGACAAACATAATGGTTTCTATAGGCCAAGATGTCAGAAAATTAAGGTGTGTGTTTTATCCCCTTATCTGTTCAGTCTGTATGCAGAATATATCATACAGAAAACCACACTAGATTCAGATGAAGGAGGAGTAAAAACTGGTGGAAGAAACATCAGTAATTTAAGATATGCAGAAGATACCATCTTACTGGCAGAAAGCAGCAATGACTTGAGATGACTGTTAGGAAAAGGGAAAGAAGGAAGTGCCAAAGCAGGATTGCAGCTAAATGTTTCGATGACAAGAATAATGAGAACAGTGGAACTACACAACTTTAACTCTGACAATGAAGAAACTGAAATAGTTAGAGATTTTGTACACCTTGGTTCAGTCATCAAACCAAATGGAGATTACAACCAAGAAATCAAAAGAAGATGTGACTAGGAAGGGCAGCAATGAATACATTGGAAAAGATAATCAAGTGTAAGGATGTGTCACTGGAGACCAAGACAACAGACTCTCTTGTATTTCCGATAACCATGTACACGAGGTGTCAAAGCTAGACACTTAAGAAAGCAGTAGGGGGGGAAATGATCCATTTGAAATGTGGTGCTGGAGGAGAGCTTTCAGGATACTCTGGATTGTGAGAAAGACAAATAAGTAGATCCTAGAGCAAATCAAGCTTGAACTCTCGCTAGAGGCAAAAAAGTTGAAACTGAGGCTGTCCTACATCATGACAAAGCAAGAGACTCTGGAAAAGACAATAGTGCTTGGAAAGGTGGAAGGCAGCAGGAAAAGAGGGAAACCAAATACAAGATGAATTGATTCCTTAAAGGAACCGACAGCCTTGAGTTTACAAAAGCTGAACAAGGCAGTTAAAGACAGGTCCTTTTGGAGATTATGGTTGCCAGGAATCAAAGGGGACTTGATGGCACGTGACAATAACAACAGTGCATAGGATATTTAACGAGTGTTTTTATCATTACAACCCCCTGTAAGTTCCATATCTGAGCAGAGATTTGAACCTAGGACTTCTGGTTCACCACTCTATTGGATCTGGATGTCAGAATACATAGATAATTGACACTGTATGACTGACACAATCTATAGTGTATCAAAATCCACCCTCAAGGTATTTCTTAAGTTGGATATTTCATAAAGTACAAGACACAGTAGTAGATTTTTGAAATGAAATCTAAATGCTTTCTAAGGCATTAAAACAAGCCTAACATTGATTTCTTTTATCAACAAGCCATGTGATTCAGTTTGTAATTATCTAAATTACAGTTTGTATTATCTAAATTATTTTACAAAATTAACTTTTTTCACTCTCATAATTTAAATCAGTCTTCCAGCAGACACTGAGGGTAGAATCATTCTCAGTTACCTGAATGAGAGTGAAATGTAAGGACTTTAGCTGAAATAAGTTATGGATCAGAAGGCCAATTATATGGAGCACACAGATATGGGCACACCAGCTGAATATTTCTCATTACTGTAAGCAGATTAACTGAGACAGTTTTCTTAAACATTTACTAGATTAACTCTCACTGACTAGAACATCAGTGCTGGGGTGGTCCCACACACAACCTTCTCATTGCTACAAAATCCAGCTGTGGCCTGCATGCCTTCATGTTATATTTAAGATAAGCTTCCGCTGCTACAAGTCTTCCATAAACCATAAACTCTTTAACTTAAATCAACCACTTATCACTTATTCAGTCATTTTATATTAAATTAACCTTCTTGATATTCAGGCTATAAGTGAAATTCAAGTCCTGTAAGTTCCTTTATCTGAACGCTATAGTATACTTCAGATACAGACCATTTGTTCAGAAGTACTAGCCATATCAACAAAACAGTATAATAAATACATATCAGTACTTTTTTTCAGGAAAATTTTAATATACTGCATCTAAATAACTTTTACAGAGAAATGATACATTCTAACATCACGATACTAAACATACGGACAAAACAAACAACAATGACATGTGTGTATTTATATTTACTTCACTTGAAATCTTCAACTTTCCATTACTGAAGCACTGTCATTAATCTGCTAATAGAAAACTATAGCTTTAACAAGCAGCCAAATATTCCTATTCCTAAGTGAAGCGAAGAAAAACATTAGATAATATTGTCTCTGTCAATTTCATATAAATTTTGTGTGTCAAAGGATAAATATTTAGATACTAAACAATCCAGAAAATCCCCCTAAAAATACATACTAATATTCGAGTGTCGTCACAGAAGATATTGATTATTTCAGACATGAACTACAAGCTATGACATACAACATTATCTGAAGACTATACAGGTTGTAACAGGAAATTGTCTGAGTGGAACCAAGTTAAAAAGCAGCATGCAAGCAATATACAGATAAGGTAACTGTCTACAAAGGATCATATTACAGTCTGCAGACATACCTCTTGAATGGTATACAACACAGTAAGAATTCATTTCATGCACTATGAGCTAAGCAAAATAAAATAAAATAATCTACCAACAAATGAACTTGTTGTTACTGTATTACTTTAATTCCTTTATACATGCCACCCTTTCCTCCACACCACTTAGGTTATGGAGCAATTCTTTTGCTTTGTTTTGTTTATTGCAGGACTTCTCACTTCATTTTCAGGCAAACAAGTGGCACACCATTTTCAATGAAGAAGAGCATTGCTCACAAACCATACTCTTGTAAAAGATGGATTCTATCCATTTGCCTTATTAGCCCAAAGATAAGGCCTTCGATGTCTCTCTCTTTTCCTCAGCTGCTCCCAAGAAGTACTTTTAATTTTTTAAGATTTCAATTCATTTTTCTAAAGATAAATATTATTTTCCCCTTCTATCTACTGCATAGAAAAGAAAGCATGGAGAAACAAATTAACTTGCACAAGGCCACACACCTCAGATCACCAGCTGAACTGCGATGCAGGTCACTGCATTCCTAATCTTCACTCCATAATTCTGTCCGCTAAGCTATCACAGGTCTGGCTTTAGCTCGGTTTAGTATGAATTAACAAGATGCTACATCTTACCTCCATATCCACCAAGAACAATCCTAGTTCACCCCTGATCATCTCACCACTGCCCTCTTTTACTATGCCTTACTCATTCAGTTCCAGGTGACAGTTTCCTCAAATTACTGGTGGTGATTGCTATAAATACTTCTTATAGAAACTCACTATTACTGTTTCATAGTGAACAGAATTTATGTATATGGTGTGGCTTCAGAGCAATAGTATACACCTACTGAAGAACATGGATAAACAGTGTCCTGTGAAAGAAAGATAACTCAAAACAAAAGCCTTCTCTTTTAAGGAAGGTAAAGGTAAAGGTAAAGGTTCCCCTTGACAATTTTTGTCCAGTCGTGTTCGACTCTAGGGGGCAGTGCTCATCCCCATTTCCAAGCCATAGAGCCAGCGTTTTGTCCGAAGACAATCTTCCGTGGTCACATGGCCAGTGCGACTTAGACACGGAATGCTGTTACCTTCCCACCGAAGTGATCCCTATTTATCTACTTGCATTTGCATGCTTTCGAACTGCTAGGTTGGCGGGAGCTGGGACAAATCGACGGGCGCTCACTCCGTCGCATGGATTCGATCTTATGACTGCTTGGTCTACTGACCCTGCAGCACAGGCTTCTGTGGTTTAGCCCGCAGCACCACCACGTCCCAGCTTTTAAGGAAGGTACTCCAATATAATTAACATTTTCTGTTTCTTTAGAGGAATGATCATTAAGGCTATAAAGTAACATGAACTAGATCATCCCAGAAGGAACCAGGTTTTATTTTTGCTGTTCTTCTCATGAAAATTAAGCATCCTGGGATCTAGGAATCTTTTCTCCTTTCTGTGATGCTTCTACTTCTATGAAGGCTTTCAGTATAAACAAAACAAGTATCAAAAGATGATGAAGCTTACCTGAATCTGCCTTGGCAATGCTGGCATTGATCTCCTACCCAGCCTTGGTCACAGAGGCAGGTGGAATTGACACATCTGCCGGAGAAACAGGAGGTCCTTTCACAAGGCTTAGAGTGGGAGACTTGGGCATACAGCACTAGGTACAGTAATCCGTAAAAAAGCAGCCAGTTATTCATATCCAAGAAGGTGGCCAAGCAGCAAGAGGAACAAGGAAACGGTCTCCAGGCTCCCAGGACCGCAGGAGGGCCTCCTATCCTGCGCAGGACTTTCCCCAAAGGATCCAGCATCGTTGCTACACAGCACATCCGCAGCCAGCTCTCCTAAGAGCCCGGCTTGGAAGCAGGGAAGACCGATTAGCCCGGTTCCTTTTCGCAAACCGAGCAAGGATGAAAACAATTCCCCGTCACTCCGCGCACATCGCCCCGGTCAGGGAGAGCGCGGGCCGAGTGGAGCACGGACGGCGGTGACGCGACCGAGGAGAGACCTTCCCAGAAACACCCAGGCTGGCCCAATGTGTCCTGAAGAGAATTAATTAATTCTTGGAGGAGGGGGAAATGCGGGAGGAACAGGAGGGCAACCCGGCCCCAATCCTGGCTTCCCTCCCAAGCTTTTCACACCACCTCCTCGTTATCCCTCAGGGAAAGCAGCGGCAGCCTTCCCGCCTCCCCTTCCTCTTCGTCCTCAGGGCTCATTGCCCCCCGTCTTCCATGAACAGAGGACTGTCTCCTGACCTTGTAGCTTCTCCTTTCACCACATGCTTGCCTCCACCCCCCCTCCCCGCTCCCCAAAGACCATGCAGCCCTTCCCTCTGTCCCTCGCCCCCTTCCTTCCACCGCCTATGCCTTCCTCGGCTCGTCCTCGTTCAGCAGCAACAGCAGGGCAAGACACGGTAGCGGAGGTGATGCTTCCTCTCCGGGGCGGGCACTGAGAGGAAGAGCGAAGCGTCGGAGCCTCCTCAGCGCCTTCCCAGCATCCCAAACCAAGTCAGCCGGAGGGCGGGGAAGAGGCGAAGGCAGCCCCTCTCTTCGCTCCTCGCCCACTAAAATGGGAGGGGAGAGTTAAAAGCCCTCGCCTGTCCCAGCTGACAGTTTGCAAGCAGCCATTTTTAAAAGGCTAATTGTAAGCTGCTTTCAGAGGCGAGCGACTGGCGGGGGCTGAGGCAGGCTCCCTTCTCCTCCTCTCCGTCGACTCTAGTTAAATCTGCCCCTCGGCCACCTCCTCTCTCCCTCGCCCCCCTCCGCCCGCCCGCCTCTTCCTTTGACTGCCGGGCAGGCTCCTCCTCAGCCAGCGTGACCGACGGCGGCCGCGGCGCTTTTTATTCTCTCGGGCAGAATCCCCGCAGGCAGGAGGACGCAAGCTGCCCGAGGCTCACACTTCAGGATCCCAGTGGCTGGACTAACTGCAGTGAAAAGGGCTGGAGACTTTAAGGAGAGCCCTCTGGCCTCGGCTGGAAGAAGTCAAAAAGGAGGCTCGCAGAGGCAAACGGCTGCCCGGGGCGGGGGGGGGAGTTGTTTACCTCCCGCCCCTCAAAAGTTCCTGTCCCAGCCACCCCAGACGGACTCCTTTTTTTTTGCACCGCTTGGGATCAGGCTCGAGAGGAATGGCTCTCCTCCGTCTTGTGAGCGGCAGAAGCGGCGGGCAGCATCGGCCAAACGACTTGCCTGCTGCAAGCCTGAACCTTCTCCACAGCTTTGCAAGGGAGCTCTGGAGAGAAAACTACCACACAAAGAAGAGCTGAGCATGTGCAGCAAGCTGCCGGAGAGAAGCCCCCTTAAAGGCGCCGCGCGTCGTGCTCCATTGCATCACTTTTAGGAG